GCTTTGTTGAGGAGATATTTCGTTTCGTGTTAATGCCAGCGACTGCATGACACAAAGTCAAATCGCTTGATCTGATTCTGAGTTGTTTCTCGATAAAATAAGTCACTTATGATACAGTTGCTTCAAGTCCTCGACTCACTCCCATTTGCTTGGGCAGCAGAAAACTGTTCAGTGACAGACCATTGGCGATTGCACACAGAAAGATTACCGTCAAAGAGTTGTCATATCCGTCAACTTTACGCCATCCACATTTAATCATGACCATACAACTAGGCTAGCACTGAAAGTAAATTAGAGATTAGGAAATTTCTTAGATGTGATATATGTATTGGGATGGCATGCTCGAAGTCTCATTCGAATGAGCACTATTTCTTGGGTTGGCGAAAAAAAATCAAATTGAACTATCTGTCAGAAAGTATTTGGAGAATTGTTTGAAATGTTTATCGAGTGAATTCCTGTTAGTTGTCTATCCGAAACAATTGATTCGCTGGAATGAGTCTTTTCTCATGATATTTGACACTTTGATAACTGATGTTATTCGTTCCGATGAGATGGTGTCTGTGAGATTGTGCTGAACTAAAAGAAATCTTCGAGTTAATCTCATGCAATCGTTTCAACAAAATCCTATCGTTTGATTATTCTGTCGTTGTCGATTAGATTGTTGGCGGTCAAGAACACTTCTGAATATATTTGGTGATGTGAAGGAGATGTCATACCGGCTTATAAGGAGATGTCATACTTTATGAAAACTTTGTTAATCACATTAGTCGTCTATGAAGGAATGACTGCTATCACATCCTCACAACATTGACATATTCATCAGATAAAATAAAAACAAACAAGCACATCGGAAACAACCTAACAACAAATACGCACTTAAACGATAACAAAATTAGAACCACTCATTAATCATCAGTTAATTAACAACAACAACAAATAAAACAATACACACTGCTCTCGAAGTTGCAATGCGAACAAAAAACAAATACTGTTACATTGCAATTCGAGCGTTTCAATCATCAGAATGAAATCTCGTTTCAATCGTTCGAATAAACCATTACTGAGACCACAGATAGGCAATAGTGCGCTATCGTTATGTAGCGAAATATTTAGTACGATAGTAAATAAGCATCGATCGCATCACAGTAATACAGCGTAACAGCAAGCGTCAATAGTATCCAGTACTCCTCCAGCAGCAGCTGTAACCATAGCGATGGCTTTGTACTTCAGCTATTTGGAATCACGAAGAAAAGTGTCGAGCGTTTTTAAGAGTTCATTGGCTTGCTCGACATTCGCCAATCCGACAGTTGGCGCTTCGGCGAGAACTTTCTTCTCGTGAAATAATCTCAGAGCATTACTAAACGAATCTGCATTCAACGCCTCATCTGAAAAACAAATAAAAGTGACTGCTACATTATGGTGCTTTAAAAACACCATAATAAAAGCGCCCCGAAATTGGAATAACCATTCAAAATTCCGAATAAAGCATCCAGAAGATATTTCACAAGCTTCAAATGTTGCTGATTAATATGCTACTGCTTCAAAATAAACTATTTAAAAAAACATGCTATCGCCTTGAAGTAACGAACGCACTTAGCAAAGCGAACGGAGTGACGATAGGTGAATGTGCTCGCGACAATATATCCCGAACAAAGTCAGCACCTGAAAGAAGAAATTAATCAAATGATCAGAACAAGGAGTGAACAAGCATGGCAATGAAAAGAAGGAACCGAACCTTTGCCTTCAAACGGTGTTGTCAGGGCTATCAGCTTCTGAAGAACGATATAGATTGACTGGAGAAAGGGACGCAACAGATTTGAGTAGAACAGAAGCTTGCATTCAGCATCACTATCAGGTATCTGAATGTAAATTACAACGACTAGTGATCATCCATTCCTACAGAACACTGAGCAAATGAACAAACCAAAATGTTCCAAGAAGCATCTAAGTGATCTCCCTCAACAGCTTTCAGCAATCCATCGTTCTTCATTCCTTCAATCACTCGCTTGATTCGTTCACGTAAATTTTCACATGGCTAAAAATGAGCAGATTTTTGTGCAGTTCCTTTCAAAATGACGATTAAAAACGCAACTCTTGGGGCATACAAAAGAACGAGACCGACACAATATTGATCATAAATCCCAATCGAAAATTATGTCAAGAAGGATGTAATTCTTCGAAGGCAAATCGTCTTGCAACAACCCCGCACATACCTTACAAAAAAGGAATTCATATTGAAGTAAATCACATATCAGCCACGATATTTCGATCAGCAATGCTTCAGTACATTGCAAACTACGTAGTGTTAACGCCGCAAGAGCTGAAAATTCATTGATTTGAAAAATCTCAAAAGAAATCAGCCATATCGAGATAAATGGAGAAATACTCCGAATGAACAACATAAATAAATGTTCATAATAAATTCATAAAATTATTCCACAACTCTAATTATTTCATTATTTCACACCAAAATTATTCACTCCATAATCATCACGTTTCGGAATGTGTCAAAGAATGGGGCGAATAAAGAATGAACGAAGCGAGAACAACGCAAATTCACTAGTATTCAAATAACTAACCGACTGCAGAATGGATCGACAAAGTATGAATGAGTGCATTCTTGTGATATGCCAAGTGAAGCATGTTCTGGTGACTGTTTCGAACCACAATATTACCATCCATTTCAAACAAACAGTCATCTAGTAACTTCAGCGCTCTCTGCAATCATTCTGACAAGATTTAACACACAAAACCATCGGCTGCACGCTCTTTCGAGAAGCTGATCGAATAACCAAACAACTTTTGCTCATAAAACTTCATTCGGAGATAATTACGCAA